CACCGACACGGAGAGAACATGTAAGGACAGTTGCCCAAGGCTGGAATTTAACTCTGGTCCCTGTACTAACCACTGAGCCACTGTGCTGTCCATGAAGCTCCTGGCAAACAAGACAGTGCACAGACCAGACTCCCTCTTCTCCCAAGACAAGCAGTGGATGCCAGGACACCAAACCATGCCAGCCTACTCCAAGTATGCCCCCTGGACTGAAGCAAGCACAGCTGCCTGGAGGAATGCCCAGCACCATGAGAAGGAGGTCAATGTTCTTCTTCATTCCACCAGCCTAAGTGCCACCATTTCTCTCCGATACTGCATCCACCTCCTACCAAGGCTCATGGTCCACTACTTTCACTAATGCCTACAACGTCCTGCCCACTCACCCTCATCCACATGAAACGGCAACACCATTAAACCTGCACGATCTTTGCACTGCCCATTCACTCATTCAGGAAATCTCCCATCTGCACTAACAGTAATAGCTGTGCCACTCACCTTTATCTTCTGTAATACCTGGCCCTCTCTTATTCCAGGAGCAAAACAACAAACACAGGGCAGAAAGATTTAAGACACATGATGTGCTGTCCCTCATTCAACTCCTCACCACTTATGAGCAAAGGATTCAGATCATGACCGTTCGAAGCAGCCAATGGACTAGTATCAGAAGTTGCCCTTGACTTACTGTGTGGAGGTGGCATGGCATGACAACAGTAACCAGGTATCTCTGATGGAGTGGGCATTGCACAAGAAAGCAAGGCAATGCAATTCAGGAATGCTGCGCAAATCCAGTTAGTTTCAGAGTGAGCAAGAGCTGTGATAGTAAGTGAGGAGCCCCGGAGATGCAGCCTGGTCTAGGTCCATGAGTTGGGTGCGTCTCCCTGAGCACAAAATGTCCTTGCTGCAGCATTATGATGCTAGTTCGCATTGCAACCTGAGGTTTAGCACTGTCATGTCATAAACTCATAGCGTGGCATGGTGGCTCAGTGGTTAGCGCTGCTGCCCCACAGTGCCAGGGATCTGGATTCAATTCTAACCTCAGGCAACTGTCTGCGTGGGTTTTGGCCAGGTGTTCCAGTTTCCTCCCACAGTCCAAAGATGTGCAAGTTACGTGGATTGGCCATGCTAAATTACCCATAGTGTTCAGGGATGTGTAGGTTCGGTGCAATAGCCAAGGGAAAATGTAGGGATAGGGTAGGGAATGGGTCTGGGTGGGATTCTCTTCAGAGGGTCTGGATGAACTTGTTGCACTGAAGTCCTGTTTCCACACTGTGGAGATTCTATAATTCTATGACATGAAATGTCCTGCAAATGGACAGGAGCTGTGCCATAGGGTTTATAGAGGCTAACATATGTCAGATGCCAGTGGATTCGGGGTGTGTATGATTAGTGATTTAGAAAATGCCTGAGATTTTGGTGCTTGGTGTCCAACATGAAGATGTTTTGGAGCAAGCAGTGTGTTGAACCTGCCAAAAATCAGTTCTGACTTCCATATCAAGTTTTCTCAATAGTTACTTTTTATGGCAAGTTGGTAGATTGCAACCCATGGAGAGGTAACAAGCTGCTAACAAGCAATGACGAATGTCAATTGAGAACTCACTGCTGTCTGGGGAGAAGAAGCTCATCATGCCACTTGAGAAAAGCAAACAAGATTCAGCGAGATAATCTCAATGTCAAGTTCAGCCTTGCCAAACAACTAATCTGACTCTACCGCTCATCTCACCATAGCCCACACTGCTCAGAGCCTGGTAAGATTCTGCATCAAGATTTTTCTCTTAAGGAATAAGGATTACATCATTACCATGGTTTGAGCATGGCAACTGATGAAAGGTACAACCAGGTGGAGAAGCTTCATGAAGTGTAATGGTGTCATCATTCTTGGTCTCCATCAAGGATATAATGTCAATGTTATCATCCACAACAAGCTCATGGTTGGCTGGGATTATATTCTCATGTGAACATACATGCTAGAAGATGATGGAAAGGAACAGTGAAAGCCAATCTACTGGAATCACAATCCATAGCTGTGCACAACATGAGGAATGGGGTTGATGCAGGAAGACCATTTGCAGTTATATGCGCAGGTTAGGAACAGCAACAGGATGAGGAAACAGGAGTTGCGACTTATGAAGAGATACTATAAGTACTTCGGTGGGCCTTTGTGATAATTTCAACACAGACACAGAAGGTAGCTCTATTAACCTTTAAGAGGGAGTGAAGAATAGGAAGGTAGGGTGAGAATAGAAAACATGATGAGAACTGAGAATTTGAGCTGTTGAGTAGTTTTCCTGAGGGTAGTGGAAAAAGATGTGATGGCAGGAGAGGAAAAAGTTGTACTGGCAGGAGGGATAAGATGAAAATGAGAAAAGGTAGAATAGAAGTGCTGGGCTCAGGCCTACAACAGCCAAGACATGCAGTAAGGAAGACCAGAAAACTAACTACGTAGGTGGCTTGGTTCCATATTAGATCAAAATAACAGGTTTGAAATACATGGAGGGTACAGACAGGTTAGGCAAAACTATATTTAAAGTCAGACGTTAGTAAAGTTTATGTTATGAGATTGATAACAAATTAATCAAAAGAAACAAAGAGGTCAAATCACAAGTGGTGGAAAATGTTGAAGCATGGTGGATCTTGCCTACTGAGAGGAGAGCTGGCAGGAGACCCAAAAGGCCTTGTCCAAGGAAGGTTTGCTGAATCACATACTAATCACTACAGTGGCAAGGCCATCAGCTGGCTTACCCCTAGAGTCAAGACACCTGGGGCAAAGTCTTGCCCAATGTGAACTCCTATCCAATCAGAGCCTGGAAACTCTTATACTCACAGAAGGGGCAGTAACTGCCGCCAGAAAGGTACCCCAAAAGTCCCATGACTGTGAAGGACCCAGGATAAAGATCAGTGATGTTCAGGGGTGGGGTTTCCCAGGCTAACGGTTGTGGGGTGAAGGTGTTATAGCGCCCCTGCCTGATGTCCAGTCCTACAATCAGAAACAGAATGTCTTAATTGAGGAATGTCCCTTCACAAGGCAACAAGCTGCACGGATGTAGGGAGCAACAACTGTGCACACCATGTGGCAAGAGGCCTGTCAACAGCTGGGTTAATCCTGGCAGTCCAGCTAATGCCCTTAAGTGGTACTTAATTGGCCACTTAAGGGTTTCAATTAGTAGCAGGGCAGTAAGACTGACTGTGGACCTTCCAATCCAAAACTGAATTCTCGTAAAGACAGGAAGATAGTGAGGTTTGGGTACAACATCCACCGAGTCTAAATAAGTGATATTCCTGCCTGTAAGTTTGCAACCTCTACAAGCGCAAGATTCCACCATAAAGCATTTACAAATATATTAGTAGTAGTAGTGTGGGACTTTTAAAATAAAATATGGGTAAGGTTCCAAATGAAAATGAGGAAATGACAGACCTATTGAATAATTACTTTGTATTAGTCTTCACAGTAGAGGAGTGGCTTGACCAACACAACAGAAATCCCTATTTCTAAGTTTGCTGATAATACAGTTAGTGGGATAAGAAGTCATGTGGATTGGGTCATAAAATTCCTAAATGTGAGTGGGTAAAATTAGGAGGTGGCAGATAGAGTTCAATCATTTTAGGTACGTGGAGATCAAATTTGGCTCAAAACTAGGAACAGCAAATGTCCAAAGAAATTTGAGAATCTATGTACACAAATCACTAAAATCAAGTATTCAGATACAAAAATCATCAAAAAGGAAAGTTGGCTTTTATAACGAGATAACTGGAAACTAAAGAGAAGGAAGTTTTGCTGTAGTTATAAGAAGACCTGATAATATACCATGCATCTTAGAAAGGATACTCCAACCTTGAAAGCAGTGCTGTGCAGTTTCACTGTATTGCACCAGGACACCAACATTTTAAATTGGGGAGCAATTACATAAACTGCTTGGAATATAGAAGATTAAGGGATTATTTAACTGACGTCTTTTGGAATTTTGAAAGTAATTGATAGGCTAATCAGAGATAAATCATAGGGCAATGAATGGTTATAGCACAGAAAATGGCCATTCAGCCTTTCATGTCTATGCTGGCTCTCTACAACAACAATTCACACAGCACCATTTGCCTTTCTTCTTCCTGTAGCCCAGTATATTTTCCTTTTCAAATAATGATCAAATCCCCTGCCTCCACCAATCTCTCAGGCAATGTATTCCAGGTTCTAAGCACTTGCTATGTGGGAAAAACAAGTTTTTTTTCCCCCAATGCTGCTCTTGCTTCTTTTGCCAATTACCTTAAATCTGTGCCCTCTGGTTCTTGATCCTTCCACCAATGGGAACAGTTTCTCCATCAATGTTTTCTGCTGGTGGGGGAATCTAGGACCAGGGGACAAAAAAGTTAGGCAAAAGTCATTCATGTTAAAAATGGTAGAAGCGTGGAACTCGATCACAAAATAGCAGTACCTCCTTGTTCAATGAAAAGTTTTAAATCTAAGATCAACAGATAGAACAAAGAAGAGTAAGAAGGGATCTGGAACCTAGACAGATGCATGAAGTTAGAATACAGATGAACCATTATCCCATAGAATGCTGGAATAGAACTGGGGGGCTGAATGACCAGATCAAGTTTCTGGGTTCCTTCAATTCTAGTAGAAGAGCAAGACAAAAGGAAATCAGAGCACTGTACTTTTACTTCCCTTAGTATTTTCTTCCTCCTAGAATCAAAAGGTTTAAGTACTAGTCTTGAAATCACTAATTTGCTAATTTGAAGTTTATCCTATTTTACTATTATAACCTACATATCTTGAATACTAGGTCATATCCTTTTGTCTTGAGTTGTGAATACAAAACTGATATTTTAATGTCTATTAATCCAACTCCAGTACTTAACCCTGGAGATCTCTTTGACAGCAATTCTTAACTGTGCAAGATAATAATAATAAAAGGTAGATATTGTATAAAAATATTTCATTTTTGTTAGTTTTTTACCCAAAACTTCAAAGTAATCTCATATCTTCAATTTGTTTTTCTATACTGCATTACCTCAGAAATCACTCTTTGGTCAGAAATGTGATCAATAAGATTACTAACATCCTCTTCTCCTACTACATATCCTTTTCCAATATCATATCCAAAGCTTAGCTGCCTGTTGATCTGCTTATTGAGAAGATGTATGAAGGTTGGTAACATTATCTGTAAAGCAAACACACAAATCGTACATGATAGATACTTTATAAGGTGAATAATGTGGCCTCTGATGTCTGATGAATTGTAGTTCATCACGACATCATATTCTTTGGTATACTCCTTATTGATGCATTAACCAGGTAATGCCAGCATAACGTGCTTACAGCTGCATACCATAAGGTTCATGTAATTTAAGGTGTTTACCAATAATACAGCTGGAGAGTACAAATAGCTGTTTAATTACTGAACATCCATTTCAAAGAAATGCCCACTTAAAAAAGAAATTCTCATTTTACAATTGAGTAGCCCTCACTACTGGACCATCCTTAAAGATCCTTATTTCAGGAATCTTTCAATAGACAATTAATCAATGAAAATGTATGCTATAATATATCAGGAAAATGCCTCCTGGGTTGACAGAAATGCTTTATTATCCATTTCCACCCAGTTCTCAAAATAGTCTCAGCATTTATGGTCCACGTAGCTATAGGATCACCCAAATATTTCAATGACTTGACTTCATGTTAACATTTGCTCAGTGCCTTTGGAGCCAAAAGAACGCTGGCATTGCCCTCAGCTACATGCTCCTTTATCTTGTCTATATCAGAAATGGTTGTCTTTTAAAGAATGTATACATAATTCCTAGGTCGCTTTTCTTACTGATTCACTTATACTGGTCAGCATTATGATAAGTTGATGAATGGAACATAATACAAAGGCAAAATACTGCAGACACTGGAAATCTAAGAACAAAACTGGCATATCTCGCATCCCTCCCCCATCAGATAGTTTAAGAAGACATAGATGGCCTTAGGCAGGTAGTCTTCTTTCAAATTACTTTGACTTGAGGACAGCAATTTAGATTACCCACCAGATGTATGATCTGCTTCATTTAGTACCCTGTTACCCAGAATCTTACCACAATGTTGAGATCTACAAGACAATGAAATAAAGCTCTGAATTATCTGGCTTTGAGAAAACTTTCACAGCCTGATGATGAACAGCGTATGCACTTCAGTAAACGATAGACCTTCTGTCTTGAACCTTCCTTGGATATTGAAATGGAATTCTCTCTGACGTCTATCATTGTTACACATATTTGAAACCATTGCAAACTTACTAAAGGTAAGGTGGGTGCTACTTGAATCAAGTTTGATTCTGTAGCAGGGCAAAACAGTGATATGTCAAAGCAGGGACAGTAGGCTTCCTCTTTCCATACCTCTGCTAATTCTGCAAATGTTAGTTTCCATTCTGGCAAACAAAATGCAGTCAAGGATACTTTTCTGAGTTTGGGATTAAGTCATATCTTTGATTAGACTGGTAGAGATTTTACTGCTTATACGCACAGTGTATTTTCACTATCACAATAACATAAACCACAAGACAACAGGTGATGATTGGTTGACAAGTCAATTCTGATTGGCTAAGTCATGCCCTGTAAAAGCAGCAGGAAACCAGGTCTGAAATTCCCTGGTAATTCAAAAAAGGCGCAAGGATTGAACATATTCCTTTGTTTGCAGAGAACTGATCCCTGATTATTAATGTATGTTGCTTCTAGTAAGCATAAATGAGCTATGTTATGAGCTCAGCTGGTTATCTTAAATTGATTGCTGGTTTTCAGTGTACTCAGAATTATTCAGAAAATGCTGTCCAATCACAGAATCACATCAAAAAGTAGATATTTTGAGCTTCACAAGCTTAGGCTGGTTGAGTACAATCTGTACTTTATTATGAATAACTAAAGTAACATCCTGTTTGATTTCATTAGCCAATCATGATCATATACTGCCTGTGTACCTCGCATCACACTAGCACTCAAATTTACACAGTAGGTTCCGCTATAATGCAATAGTTGCGTTCCTGTGCAACATCGCCTTATAGAAAATTGTGCTATAGAAATAACGGGGCCAATGGGAAAAGTGGGGTTAGGGGCAGATCATCAAAAAAAAACATACAAAACTGCTCAAAAATTACTCAAAAACCTAACACAAAGGATAGCACAATTTGAATAAATGTTTAATTCATATCTAATAATGAAATAAAAGTAAACACTTTACCTTGAAAAGTGTCAAGGTGATTTGATGGGGGAGGAGGTTATACTGCACCACTCACAGAAAGCACTTCACGACAAAACCCACAAAATGAACACGATGTCAGTGCTAACATCATACGTATTCACAACAATGCACGTGAAATGATCATGTGATGTCAACACATAATCCTCCACACATTGAAGGAATCGTGTTATAGCCAACACAAGTTCGCATTTTAAAAATAGCGTTTCCCCTATTCGTCAATTGCATTACAGCCAATTTGCGTTGACAGACCATGCATTATAGCAGAACCGACTGTACACATGTTCAGTTCTGTGGTTGACAAAATGTATTTTGTTTGAATGAACAAGCTGCCTTACGCAAGATTCTTCTTCATGACTCACTATGCTGAAGGAAGCCACTGATATTTGTGCTCTGCCATTTTATAAACCAATCAACAATCTTCTCTTCTGCACTATAAACTGTTGCTATTGTTTGAAATTTGGCATTCTTAAAGCCGTACATATAAGTGCAAGAAGAAAAGCTTCAGCAACATGTCTTTCCTTAAAGAATATTCAACTTCTGTTCTATATTACCGAAAGGAAGAAAATAATATAAGAACTAGGAGCAGGAGTAGGCAATTTAGCCCCTCAAGCTTGCACTGACACTGAATAAGACCATGGCTGATCTCACCTCAGCATCAATTCCACTTTCCTGCCAACTCCCCATAACCCTTTAACCTGTTACTAATTTAAAAATCTGTCTCTCTTCAAACTGATTTTGTGACCAAGCTTCAACTACACCCGGGGTAGTGAATTCCACAGATTCACCACCCTTTTGAGAGAGGCAATTCCTTCTCAGCCGTTTTAAATCTGATACTCTTTAGCCTAAAACTATGACCTCTCATTCTAGAGATAACAAGGTGTAGAGCTGGATGAACACAGCAGGCCAAGCAGCATCAGAGGA